AATTTATTTATTCGAGTTATATTTTACAACTCAGTTTGAACTTGAAAAAAAATTTCGAGTCAAATTGGGTTTATGAAATTACAACTCGAAGTTAATTCGAGTCAAGTTTTCAAGAGTAGAGTCGAAAAGATCGGTTCTTCGAGTCGAATCAAATTTCGCTCACCCCTAATGCCACGTGTCACCGTTCGATTGCTGGATTAACTTTCATATTCGACTAAAAAAATTCAAGTTCAAATCGAGTTGTAAAATACAACTCGAATAACTTAAATAACTCAAAATTTCAATAATTAGTAAATTGATTTTCAAGCTTGAGTTGAGTCTTTGGACTTTGTATCATAAATGTATATTACATATAAAAAAATGAAGAAATACACATGTATTGTATATGGTTATAAAAGATCATTTAAATTAGAATCAAATAATATCATAATATTATAAATATTTATAATTAAATTTAAACAGAAACTCAAAAATTTGATTAACCCGGCTTGAAAAAAAATCTAAGTCAACTTCGAGTTGTAAAATATGATTAAATTTATTTTAACTTATTAAAAGTAGAACTAAATTGAGAAAATATGTAAATAACATGAACCAAATGTGTGATTATATCAAAATATTTAACTGTTGTTAACAACAGTTAACTCGGAGAGACCACATCTTAATTAAATAAAAACGAAATTAATAATATTTTATGTTTTATGAAATCAATGACCAAAAGTCGAAAAAACATATTATATTATTCAACCTTGCCCTCTAGCTCTGAATTTTAGGGTTTATTGTTATTATTTTATTTATGCATTAAAATTCTCTATCCATAAAGTGGTTTTAGTGATTTAAGAATTAAATTTATCTATTCATAAAATGGTTTTAGTGATTAAAGGCAATATTGATGAGTATTTTATTTTGTTAATATTTTGTTATTGATTAATCCGTGTTACCTCCTTTTATAGTGTTAATTTGGGTTATTTATGTTTGAATCTGTGCAAGACTCTATTTTCAAGGAAATAACAATTAAAAGGCAAATTAAACAGATTTTCTTATTTTTTTTCCGGAGAAGTCGAAGCCAACTCATATTCAAAGATCGATCTAAGCACAAACTCTGATTAAATAATCTAAGTAGCAAGATCAAAGGAGGAAAGCAAAGTGAACCATAATTCTTTAGGAATTAAAAAGTTGTAATTGAATTTAAACATTTGATATTTTATTATTTTATTAGGAATTTAGTTTGCATAGAATTATTAGTTTACTATTATTTAAGATTTTTAATATTTATTAATTAGGATTTTTGGTTTGTTAGAATTAATAATTTATTAATTAGGATTTTTAGTTTATTAGAATTAAGAGTTTGAATATTTTAAGAGTTAATATTTTATTTTCATTAGGTTAACTCAAGACTATAAATACTCATAGGGGTGAAGTTTGAGAGATGTACAAGTTTAGAATTTAGTATAGAATTGGTTCTGGCTTTTCTTTTGTTCTTAGGTTTCAATTTAATAAAATTATTTTTCTTTTTCATCTTATTTTCTTCTACACGCCAAGCATGATCTCTACCGTGCTTGACTAAACTTTTCTTTAGCTGATAGCTAAGCGAAGACTCGATTCATTCTTGTGAGAATTGCAAAGGTGCTTCATATCTTCATATTCTTTCTTGATTTTCGACAGACAATAAGAGGCAATCAGCCTTTCTTCAAGCATCTCAACATCTTCAATCCAAAGAGTACACATTGGCTTCATCGAAGTTGTGATCTACAGTTGGGGAGGAGAGTCAACTTGTAGAAAATTCAATTCTCTAATAAAAAACTTAGCGGCGGTCCGCTAAGGAAAATCAAGATCGGGTTTGATTCTCATCGAGACATCATAATCTGAGCATGGGCTTTTCTAGTTCCTAAAAAATCAGTTCACAAAAGAGAAGAACAATTTACAAGGGTTCGACCTTGTAGACTGTAACCGGCAAGTATCTGAAGTAAAATTTATTTCAGTGATTGAGCAAAGCGAAGCTAGAGACTATCTCTCATCTTTATTATTTCTTTAAAATTTACTTTTCTTATTTTTTATTAGCTACACCTTAATTTTATTTTATTTATTTAGTTTACTTGATTGTTATAAACTCCATTTTTTTATTTTATTGTTTTACAGATTTTTTGGTTAAAAATCAATTCAGATTGATATTAGAAATTTTCGAATACTTGTGGACCGACACCTTCTTCTCTATACTACGTTTTAGCATAATTATCTGAGAAAAAGAATTAATTATTTGATAATTACAATGCTTGTCAAATGTTATTTTTCTTAGAGATCCTGAATTCAAACAATTGTATTTGTGGGTATATGAACATTGTTAATAATTAAAAAAAAACTGAAAAGATATTGCATTGCAATTATTCTATACAATTTCTTTTTTTTAAGAAAAATCAAACCTCCACCTTAAGTTGGTAGAATAAATCTTTGAATTTGGATTACCCTATTTAAAATAGGGATAAATTATGTATTTAGTACATAAACTATCAATTTTGATCTGTTTTAGTATCTAAAATTTTAATTTTTTTCAAAATCATATCTAAACTTTCAATTTTTTCAAAACCATCCTAAATCCCCCTTTCTCTCCCTCTCCCAAAAATGAAACAAAAACTAAACTTTAGGTATGATTTTGAGAAAAAAAATAAAAGTTTAAGTACTAAAACAAACAAAAATTGATGGTTTAAGTACTAAACGTGTGATTTATCCTAAAATTTATAACTTATAAATAAATATTTCTTTAACTTATAGTAAATTAATATTATTTTCTTTTTAGGGTTTGTGTGTATGATTTAGGGTTTAGGATGTAGGTCTTGGTGTTTAAGTTTGGGGTTGGGATTTGAGATTTTGAGATAAAATAGATATTGTTTTATTGTGAGTTAAAGAAATGTTTATATATGGGTTATAAATTTTGATAAAATCTAAATAATTTATTTATTTATTTAAATCTAATGGTCACACCTCTTTTAGTTTTACACCTTCTAGGACCATTGGATTGAGTGAAATTAAAGGCTAAAATTAACTCATTGTTTCCCCCCGATGAATATCTTCTCATTCTAACTTTTAATCTCAACCTTTAATTTCTCTCATCCAATGGTCTTAAAAATGTGTAAAAATAAAAGAGTTTTACACAGTATAATTGGATTCTGCCCTACATATATGGGGTAGGATCCGCTTACACTATGTAAAACTAAAAAAGTTAGACATCATTTTAAGATCGATGGATGAGAGAAAATCAAAAGCTTAGAATAATAATAGGAAAAGATAAAATATTCACTGAAAAAACAAGGATTTAATATCAGCTTTTGATTACACACACCACTTATACTATGAAAACTCTAAGTTTTACGCCTTTTAGGGTCATTAGATTGAGGGAAATTAAAGGTTGAGATTAACTCATTGTTTTTCAGTGAATATCTTCTCATTTTTTACTGTTAATCTCAACCTTTAATTTCTTTCATTCAATTATCATAAAAATGTGTAAAACTAATATATATATATATGTTAGGATCCAATTACATAGTATAAAACTAAAAAGTTTTACACCCTTTTAGGATAGTTGGATAAAGAGAAATTAAAGGTTGAGATTAATTCCTTAGTTTTTTTTCGAATTAATATCTTCTCATTTCTTACTATTAATCTTAATCATCTATTTTCTTTCATTTAACAGTCCTAAATTTATGTAAAACTAAAAGAGTACACAAGCACGCGCACAACTATTTTCCAATGACACTAGACTCAATAAACTTTCAAAACCCAATGCAATTTAAACCTAAATAGAAAAAATACATCTATTAAACTTAAATTAATCTAACTAAAATAACTTACGAAAAAAATTGATTAATTCAAAATAATCAAATTAGCCGGACTTTGTTCAATTTGATTAATAATTTTCAAAAAAATGATTCTATTAACAATTAAAAAATACGAATAATTCAGTTTTGACTAATTTGATTTAATCAATAACGAAATTAATCATTTAAACACCCTGCCTATATTTATAACATTGAGAGCCATGATTTGTTTGAATAGTGTAAGGTGATTACAAGATAGTACATATTTAGAATATTCAGGAAAACAATATATTCTTTACAATTAAGGTCGCTTGATGGGTTGAGGAGTCATAAATTAAAGGATGAATCCAAAGTTTCAAGCAGACTACAAATTTTAAAACACAAATAATATCATGATTTAAATTGAGTTCCCAAGTAAACAAGTTAGTAGATAAATTACAAATTGCACCATTTAACTTTCTTCATTCTTATTTTATCATTAAATTTTATATAAATTTAATTTAGTCACTTAACCGTTTTTAGTCACTCGATCGCTAAATCATAAACGGTATGATGACTTGTCAAAATGACACCATTTTTATCCATATAGAAATTATTATTTTTCTTTATTTTTCATTTTTCTTCTCTCTCATTTTTCTCCTCTAAATGAAGCAATTCAAATTTTGTACACCACTCATTGCGACAGACTACGACACTGTTCATCATTCCGGCCACCATCGATGATAGCGGTCTGGTCTGGTCTTTGTCGATGACTGATGAGTCCCGAAACTGATGGCATTGAAAACATCATGCTAAAAGACATCAAAACCGATGGCACTCAACATAGTAAAGGGAAGGTAAAAAAAAACCAAGCAAAGGGAAAGGTCACTCGAATTTGGCAGCTTGGTCTGTCGATATACTAAATATTATCTCCTTAAAAATTTAATCAATTCTTCGATATAGGTCAAATTGATTATTCAGTGGAACGTTAAGGGTATATTTTAATATTATACCTTTCTCAAAAAGAAAAAAGGGTCAGTTTTTATGAGTAGAAACATGGGTGCTTCCTCTTTTATTAACATGCATAATATACAATAACAATCAACAGTTCTGACTTCACACGGCATCGTTTACAAGCAGGATATAGATAAACAACATGATATATTATTCAGTAAATGCTGATATTTATAGTCTTGTTTCTTACCAAACAAACCCAGGAGAATGGCCCCTATGGTCCGGGGGATGAAGTGGGGCAGTGTTAATCAGTCTTTGCCCTGAAATTTCATAATAAATAATGTTATTTATATTCTAACTCAATGATGAAAAGGAACATTCTGATCAAATAAGTACTCAAAAAGCTTAGTCCTAGATGTCATCCAGATCAGTAAAGAACACAAAATGCTGAACCTGTTTACATTTGAAGTAGTATTTATTCGATATAGAATCATCGATCAAGCTGTTGAGTTAAAAATATGGTAGAAATGAGCTTCAGCTTCACATTCTTGGAGGCTTATGGTAATTACATATACAGCCGGAATGGACTTTTTTTATGTAACTAGAAATGGCTACTGATGTTTCAGTAGCATGATAAAGAAACAACATCATTTGCTGCTAAAAAGATGAATGGGGTTGTTTTCATGAGTGACAAAAGCACGCAAGAAGCTCGGTCCAGAATAAGAGAAATGTTTTACGTGTTTTGCGCCTCTCACGGATGCTTAGGTGCTTTCTATTAAGTTCCAGGAGTATGGCAGACATTAGTTCAAGTTCGACATTTTCAAATACAAAAATAGGTCATGTGAAAGCTATTTCCATTTAGGCAATTCAGCCACCGGACAGCCAGAAAATGAAGAGCAAATTAAATTATCTTTTCTCAAGTTATGCATGCAATTGCAGACCAGCTAAAATCTCCAGTTACTACTAGATTTCTACTGCTCTTCCTTCAACATGGTACAGGATGATATAAAAGGAATGTTAAGCTGTCAAATAAAAGAAGAAATGGCCTAAAATTGTATCCACCACATATATTAGTAAGCCATCCGGTTTTGATTATTTTCCTTCTTAAGAGGCCGATGTTTTATATGTTTTAGATTTATGACTAATTCTCATTGCACTTAGATCCTCTGGTGTTTTTGCTTGTCTGGTAACATGGCATGTTTCGATCCATGTATGTTAGATAGGGAGGAGATGAAATGAAGATAATACCTGCTTCTCAGAGCTTGTACTCTCAGTTATGTCACCACCTCCAGGAGCAGATTTCAAGTCCGCATTCCTGCAGCATAAAAGTACTGGCTCAAAATTTTCGGTTTGATAAAGACATTAGCGCAAAAGAAAATCGAGGATTGCCAACATCAGACTACCTTTCATGTGTAAAAACGGCCTGCTTATCTGGAAATGAATTTATATCTGCAGAAATGGAACCAGGAAAGCCTGCGTCTGTAGATTCAACATTTCGCTCTCCCTATACAAGAATCGTGTCAATATAAAGTTTTCCAAGTATTCTCTGTAAAAGAAGTCACTAAACAAATCATACAAAGCCAGCAGGGGACTCACATCAAAATCGTATTCCATCCACCCTGGAAATCTGTCTGAAAGAAGGGTAACATACCGCTCCATAGCCGCCTCCGGATCCATGTTCCCCAGCCTTTGCCAAGCATTCCTTGCACAATGCAAGCAGTGCTGTCCATCACTCATACATAGCAGCTGTCAACCCTGTTATTATAACTACCAATCAAGGTATACCGTGCAAGGCTAAGCCCTAACGTGTTTCGTACTCCATTTTCGACAAAGTTTCCTGGTTATGGTAGCCAACATAAATTTGACCACTATATAAACTCCAATGATTTGTGCCATTCTACATTGGCATAACACTTAAGTGTGTTTCAGATAGCTATAATATAAAGCTTCCCCACCCCACCCTTCTTATTTACTATCTCATTAACTAAAGTTTTCAAAATTGACTAACTTTTAACATGCTATATCATTTAAACTTTAAATCTTGGTGGTTTTACCATATAATATAACTTTTATCTTCTGTGACACACTAGCGAACATTAATTGTGCTCAAGTATATAGCGATATTGATCTTTTGTCTTCCACAATGACATAAGAGAGACATTTAAACCTTAGAAAGTTATGTATAACCACCCACATTCAACACCAACCAAAAAGAAGAAGACAAAACAGATGAATAAATTGTCAAATATTAGATACAGGGAAAGTTAGCTACCATTTGGAGCGAGAAGAAGCCATGAAAGCCAGTGGCTGAGGCTCATGACAAGGCCCTTCTGTTGCAATCTTGTGGAGTCCATAAAGTTGCATTTGAACATCATTCCCCATACCCAAATCTCCTTTCTGCTCAACGAACTTGGCAGCTGCTCCGAAAGCCTTATCCAATTCACTCTTCTCTACCCCTTCCCAATCGTCATCTTCATCATCATTCTCTAGTTTCGCCCCCTTTTCTTCTTCCCCAATCCCTTTCACTTGATTCTCTTCAGACTGCATTTTGGTTTCGTTTTCAGCCTCTATCCCTTCACCAATATATTCAATCTTCTTTTCGGCTCCGAGATCATCGACTATCTTGGCCGTCTCTTGCATAAATTCAACTTCCTTCTCACTTTCAAAACCTTCAAGTTTCGAACTTTCAACGCCCTCCCCTTCTCCAGCTTTAAATTCATCTACCACTACTCTTTCACCGCTCCCTTCAACGCATTCAACAAAACCCCGATCACCAACCCCAGCTTGTTCTGGTTCGAAAACATCGACCTTGTTGTCACCGCTTCCCTGAACGAAATCAACTTTCTTTTCACTCGCAATGCCCTGAACTTCCAATTTATCAGCGAATTTCAAGCCTTGCATCATGATCGCATCATCAGCATCAACCAAAGGCTTCCCATCCACCCCAGAAACACCCGTCGCCAAAGAAACAATCTTGGCAATGAAAAACGAAAAAACAAGAGCAATAAAAGCTGTCATAAAAAGCTCCAGGACAATCCCCATGGTTTAGAACAAATAAAAGTCCCGAAAACAGAAAGAAAAGGGTGATGGGATTAGTGGGAAATAAAGTGGATTAAGGATGAAATACAGTTATAGAAAAGGGTCTTGTGGAGCAAGAAATGTGTATAAAATGAGAAAGAAAAAGAGGGAAATGATATTTGTAGGAGAGAGCAAAGCATATTCGGGTCTTTGAGGAGAGGATTGGGATCGTCTATTGGGGCGGAAGTGGGACCCTTAAGTAGCTGGCAACATTTGTTAAGTCACGGAGTTGCCTTTATTTTTCTTTGGAAAAAAGTGTCAGTAGCCTCCAAAATTGAGCTGACGTGGCGACACTTTGCGTTATCTAATATTTGGTGTTCTTATCCAAAAATCACCCAAATAATCAATAATTACATGTCACGTAACTTTTCCCAAATATTATCGATTTAGCATTTTTCTGATAGAGTGATAATAAAATACATTTCACGATACGCGTGAATAACCCGTTAGTCTTGTTGTTATTGTTGAGGTAATTTCAATACTGATTTTGTATATAAATATTTTTTTGAGTATATAATGAAATATTTTTTTACATTGAATATGTGGTCATGTACAATGAAAAATCATCGTGATATACCAAATGAATTGGAAGAAATTCGACCATTTATTGATCAGAAGTCTGATACAAAGGTATGTACTTAAATTTTATTATTTACCTTTAATTATCGTTGTATAATTATAATATTATTTTGATAAGAATTATACATATTTGTTTTAGTTTGAATGAGCTCCTTATTCTACTCAAGAAATGAGGCTTTGCATCTCACCTCACTTGAGTGACTCATTAGATGTATGGATGGTGGTGGTCTCTCTAATATGTTATGCTATTGTCGAGTGACATCCTATTGATCGTGTGCTCCGCCAATTTGATTTTGTACAACACATTCCTAAAACACCTAAAAATCTCGACAATATGCATAACGTCGCTAAACGGGGCAAAAAGGATGTCAACTAGCTCCTGAAGCATAGTGAGTGGATAATGATTTGGGAGGATCAACGTATACGTATTCCCTCTAGGGAGACGATTCATGTGAATCATTATTCGGTTGTGGGTGACTATTATGAGTAATTCAACACGAACGGGAAGCCATTCCTATTTTTCGAGGAAGTACTAGGCGGGAGCATTCATCGACGTCAAGAAAAGCGTCCACTGTCATAGCATCATTGTCCCTCGACTCGTGGATAGAGAAAAATCACTTCGGCTCGTCTTCAGCTGCAGCACCGAAACCATCACAGCAGCCATCGTCTACACACATTCCCAACCCGCCACTATACATGGTACATCACATCCATTTCAGATGGCACCGCAGCCGTTTCATATGGAACCAACCGGTTTAGATGCTATCGCAACTGGTTCAGATGTCACCACCGCATGGTTTTATGACATCTCCTGGTAGTTATTATAATGACATGCTTACAGATCCATCGTGGGCTTCATATGCTACTTATTTGGCATATGGTGATTCACCACAGACAAATACACCTCCGGCTCAGTATTGATTGCAGTCATCGATGTCGATATTTTCGCAATTTTCATAGTTTTCTATGAGCGGTGGGATAGTTAGTCATATACCTCTAGGGTTCTTATTCTATGGAAGTGTTACATCGTCATCCGTGACTTATCAACAAAATGTAGCTGCTACTACTAATGATGATGATGAGAGTGAAGATTAAGAGCAAGTTATACGAAGAAATCCTCATCGAAATAGACAACTGTCGCCCTGTAGAACACATTCAATACGCAGAAATTGATAGACTTGTTTAGTTTGTAATGCTTTTATCTAATTTTCTTTGTTTATCAACAAATGTATTGAATTATGGACTTCTAATTTATTTTGTTTCTTAATGTTGTTATTATTTAATTGTTTGAATTGTAACATTTATATTTAATGTTTTTATTTAATTGTTTTAATTGTTTTTACTATTTAGTTTGTAATGTTTTTTATTTAATTTTTTACTTGAGTGGCTCATTATTTGTTGATGCTCAAATGACATTAATTGAAAGTAAACGAAAATGAAATAACACAAACTAAGATTTCAGAAACTACAATTACATTGTGATGTTCAACGTTTACGTGATGATAAAAGATATAGAGATTTTTTCCTATTGTGGCCTAGGTTTCTACAATGGTCACATTTTTTGTTTTCTTTGGACGTCTCTCAAATATCCATATCACAATGAATTCAAATAGATTTTGGATGACCTGTCTCTCTCAATAAGGACAAATCTGGTACAATCGGAAGTCAATTCTGAACCTCATCTGAGTCTTTCTCATTACCTATCAGGGGAAACTCAAATCCATATATCTTAAATATGGTTGTAAGTCGGTGTACGAGATCCACAAAACGGTTATAGTCTTAACGTATATGAGAACAAGTTGCTATGACATGGGAGCATGGATACTTCAAAGCTTGAAAAAAAACCCACGGTCATACCACATGTCTTGTAGATTAACTATGAACGAGTTAGCTTCAATCCTTTAAAGAGTTCCTGACATTTCTGTGACACGAAATAATTCATGGATTCGAGAAAAGCTTGTTACAGACATTTCATTTGATGCAACAATCCTTTTTTGTTGATATGCAACAAATCTTGTGTGGTAAACATGGTCGTTTTGCATCAAACTCTCAAACGAAAATATGTCGTTTTAACCAAAGTTGTTACTGGTAAATGGTGCCCCCTTTAAGGTCGATTTGATAGCCTCAACTAAGTTGGTTTTCATATGTCGATATCGATATCCACCATCATATGCATTTGTCCACATTTCTTTGTTAATGATGTTGATGTAATTGTATCCTTGCTCATTTTTTTCTCGCAAATCTTGAAGCATGGTCTCAAACGTTTGAGGTAATAGTTCGTATCATGTGCGTCAAATATAGTACTTACTGTTAAGTTCCCATAAAAAATGAAAATGATTGAGAAATGAAATTAGGTATTGTGACATACCCATGCACACAAGTAATTGACGTTCATCATTCTTCGTAAATTTTTCATGATAGTTCGAGGCAATATGGCAGATACAATATCGATGTTGGACATGGGGCAGTTGCCACATTGGACCCAAAGAGTCCATTGTTGCTTTGATCTCAACTCCGCGATCTGAAATGATACATATTTTCCCCTCGTGACAACATATAAACGTAAGTTTCTGAGGAAAAAATTGAAGATGCGCTTCACGATTCGCGCCTCCCTGACATGTCAGAAAACCCCGTGAAGGCGCGAATTACAATATGCTCTTTTCCTGCAGATACAACACTGATAAGTCCCTTTTGTTGTTGATCTGTTTTGTTTTAGTAATTGATTTCGAGGAAATTGTTCATTATATATTTTAGTAATTAGTCGTTGATCTCCTATGGTTAGGGTTGTAAATAAGACGAGATAAATTGCGAGTTATTCGAGTTCTTAACGAGCTACTTAATATTTGATTCAAAAAGCTCGTGAGTAGCTCGAAATAAAATATATTAAGATTTTATTTTTAAAAAATAAATTATTAATAATATTAACAGTTATGTGTTGCTTTTTTTTAAAATACAATATAAGGTTTTCATGTATTCAAGGTTCATGTTCGAGTTCGAGTTTGAAGTTTCAATCAAGTTAAGTTTAAGATTTTTTTTTTCATTTTGAGCTTTTACGAGCTTCAATTCATGATTTCGAGCTCGAGTTGAGATTGAAAATTTTAGGCTAATGAATTTTCGAGTCGAGTCGAGCTCAACTCCTTAACCCTACCGATGGCGTTGCATGTTAGACAAAAGATTAATTTTAAATTTAACCCTTAAATTTTAAATGACATCGTAATTTAACTCTTAATTTCTCATAATATAAAAATATTTTTATTACTTGAACTCTTGACCCAAATAAATTTTTATTATAACTCACTGGAAATAATAAATATAATATATAATTTTTTATTAAAAACGATATATAAATACAATTATTATTATGTTATATATATATATATATATATTATAACGTATAAATAGATGAATTGATAAAAAATGATTTTAATTTACAGATAAAAAGAACAATGATATCAATTTAGGTGTTAAGATTTTCAAAAAATACATATACATAACTAAGGTTGTTTAGGCGAGTGTTGGCACAAGTGATTAATATTTAAAAATTTGAGTTTATAAGATTAAGTTTGAATTTTACTACCGTCACTTTGAAAATAAAGATAATTTGTAAATTATTATGTAAACCTTAATTAGGTTTTAGGTTTGCCTTTACCCTATAATGGAGTAACAGTCATTGACCTAAATTGATTTTATTTTTGTTACAACTTGTTTATTTTTCCCGGCAGGGTTAATTAATTGTCACCTAACCCTAATTTATGAAGGTACGATTTGGGGTAGACTATTTCAAAATACAAGTTCAACTCATTTGGACATAGCAATATATATATATACAATGTTCGTTAGGTAATTAAAGGTCTTACAATCATTTTAATTGCAACTGAAGATACTAATTTTTATCCATATTATTATTATTATTATTATTATTATTATTAGTATTATTATTATTATTATTATTATTATTATCATTATTATTATTAAATATATTAAATATATATAAATAATAAATTACAGACCAATTATAATTGAACCGGCCCAGTTACAAACCAACCAGAGCCGGTCCAAATCCAACCAGAAACCCTAAATATTTGGGTTTCCAGTTAGGGTTTCCTGACCCTAATCTAGCCAGCCGCCATCTTCAATCTCAACCGTTGGATCTGGTTTGATCCAACGGTCCACCATTTGCCAGAGAAAACCCTAGGGTATCTATACCCTAGGGACACGTCCCAGCGCCGCCGCTGCTGCTTCCAGAAGCCCTCACCGCCTCCGCCGCTGCCACGTCCCGAATGATGCTTCCAGAGAATCAACGCCAGCCGTCCATGCAAGGCTACGGGGTGAGTCACCACTGGTAGTCCGGTGACTCACCGAGGCCCCCTCTTCGGACCGGTCTGAGACGAACACCGGTGGTGGCTATAAAAGCCACCACCCCATCTGCGAAAAAAAAAAAAAAGGGAGAGAGACAGAAACCAGGGACAGAG